TCACCGGTGGGGGGACACATGACCGGCAGCCGAATTGCAACCAATCGCAGCAAAGCGCGTGTACAAACAAACCGGCGCGTGCGAAGAAGACAAAGGAAGCGGAGCAGCGCGGGAAAACGGAAGTGCGGAAGGAGCGGAAAAGACAGGCAAAGGGCGGAAAATCGGAGGGGAACTGCAAGGCTACACACAAACAAACAGAAAGGCAAAAGAACAGCCAAGTGTGCATTCAAAGTGGAGAACAAGCAGAAGCTATCCCTAACAGACACCTTCGTCGGCGTCGGGGAACTGTGCTGGACTGCGGGTCGTGTGGCGACGCAGCTTGGACACATGGAAGACAGGATGGAGCTTGCTTCCAGGTGGCAAGTCCAACAGGTAGTTGAGGGGACTGGGTCGGGCCGCTATCTTGAACGGTCCTCGGTACTTGGGCAACAACTTCTTTGACTGGGCTTCGGGGACCTTGATGTTGTCGGCGTCCAGGTAGACAAGGTCTCCAACTTCAAAGGAGACATCCTGGTGTCGGCGGTCGTAGTACTTCGCCATCACTTGTTGCGCATCCGTGAGCGCGTCGGCGATCATCTTGTGTCGGACTTGATGATCTTTGACAAAGGCACTTGGTTTGGAAGGCAATCCAGCCGTGGACTCGGTCAGTGTCAAGGAGGTGGGAACATCAGGCTGGAATCCGTAGAGCGCCTCAAAGGGGCTCAAGCCAGTTGTGCTCGACTTGGCGGTGTTGTATGCAAACTCTGCATGACTCAGCTGTATGTCCCAGTCGTCTTGGCTGGTCGAGGCGTATGTCCTCAGGTATTGCTCGAGGGTGCGGATCGTCCGCTCGGACTGTCCATCCGTTTGTTGGTGGTGCGAGGTTGACATGTTCAGCTTGGTGCCGAGATGGTCGAACAGACTTGTCCAAAACAAGGAGGTGAATCGGGGGTCTCGATCACTGACGATGGACTTTGGGAGGCCGTGGTGCTTGAACACATGCTTGAAGAACAGCAGTGCAAGGTCAGGCGCGGAGCATGTCGTCTGGCACGGCACAAAGTGTGCCATCTTGCTGAACCTGTCGACAAAGACAGCGATTGCATCGTGGTCCAACTTGGTCGTCGGTAGATGCGTGATGAGATCCATGGACATGCTGGTCCAGGGGCGGTCGGGAACAGGCAGGGGTTGCAGCAATCCTTGCTCTCGGGTCGTGCGTGACTTGACCATCTTGCAGGTATGGCAGGACTCGATGTACTTCTCGACGGTGCGCTTCATTCCAGGCCAGTATGCGACTTTGGCCAGTCGGTCGTATGTCTTCTCGACTCCAAAGTGTCCAGCGAGGGGCGAGTCGTGGACCTCTTGGAGCAACTTGGTCTTCAACGACGGAATGTCCGGCACACAGACACGGCTGTCCTTCTTCAGGAGGAGCAGGCCATCACGCACTGTGTACTCGGATGATTCGTCGTCCTTGGGGAGCTTAGACACCTTTCGGAACAGTTCTCCGAACTGTTTGTCGTTGGCGATGTTGTCTCGGACAACATCCAGCATCGTGTTGTCGACACTGACAGTCGACTCGTACAGTGACGCCAATTGGTAGTCGGGGCGTCGGGACAGTGCGTCAGGCACCACATTGAGTTTGCCTTTCTGGTATACAACCTCGTAGTTGTACTCGGCGAGGAACTCCATCCATCGCGCTTGGCGTCGGCTCAGGTTCTTCTTGGTGTCGAGGTAACGCAGTGACTGGTGGTCCGTCACAATCTTGAAGGGCTTGGCGGTACCGTGGAGGTACACTCGGAACTTCTGCAGCGCGTAGATGATCGCAAGCTGCTCCTTCTCGTGCACGGGATAGTTGATCTCGTGTTGGGACAGTTTGCGCGACTCGAAGGCAACGGGCCTTCCCTCCTGCATCAAAACAGCTCCCACCGCAAAGTCGGAGGCGTCGGTGTGCACGGAGACATCCGTGTTCGGGTCGAACACAGCGAGGACAGGAGCGTTCGTCAAGGCGTGCTTGAGGGTCTCGAACGCTTGGCGTTGTGGGTGGTCCCACACGAAGGGGCACTCTTTGCGGAGTAGGTCTGTGAGTGGACCGGCAGTGCGCGCCAGATCGGGGATGAATCGGCGGTAGTAGTTGACGAGACCGAGAAACGACTGCACGTCAGAGACGCATGCGAGCGGCGGCCACTCGACCACAGACTTGACCTTGGCGGGGTCGACTTCGATTCCTCTTCCTGAGACAACGTGTCCCAGGAACGGGACTTGATTCTTGAAGAACTCACACTTGGACAGTTTGGCATACAACTTGTGCTCGCGTAGCTTGGCCAGCACGCGGGCGACATGACCTTCATGGGTCGCTTCATCCTTGCTGTACACAAGGATATCATCCAGGTACACGATGACAGAGTTGTCGAGCTCTTGGCGGAACACATCGTTCATCAGCTGCATGAACGTGGCAGGTGCGTTCGTCAATCCGAACGGCAGCACTAGGAACTCGTACAGTCCGTAGCGAGTCCTGAAGGCGGTCTTGTGGACATCATCCTCGTGGATGCGGATCTGATGGTAGCCTGAGCGGAGGTCTATCTTGCTAAAGACCTTTGCTCCACTCAGACGATCCATCAACTCGTCGATCCTGGGCAACGGGTAGGTGTTCTTGATGGTCTGTTTGTTTAGTGCGCGATAGTCGACGCACATCCTGAGATCACCTTCTTTCTTCTTGACAAAGAGCACTGGTGCACCATACGGTGACTGGCTCGGGCGGATGAACCCATGGGCGAGGAGGTCATCCAACTGGCGCTTGAGTTCGTCCATCTCCGTCAGCGACAGTTGGTACGTCGGTCTTGACGGAGGCGACGAGCCTGGTTCGATGTCGATGCGATGATCGACGGTGCGTTGGGGTGGCAGGCATTGTGGCAACTGGTCGGGGAATACGTCCTTGTACTCGTCGAGCAGCTTGGTCACCACAGGCGGGGGACCGGGACCGGCTTGGTCGGTGTCGTCGACCTCACGCACGACACAGAGGAACGACGTGTCCTTCTTGATCAGCCTCTTGAATTGCATGGCTGAGAGGAGAGGTGGCATGTTGGGTGAGGCCATGCCCTGCAGGACAATGTCAGGGCCAACACGGACAGTGCGGCCTTTCCAGTCGACGACTGGAGTCGGCTCGGCACGAGCAAGCCAGCTCATGCCGAGGATGGCATCGAACTTGGTGTCGATCACTTGGAACAACAGGACAGGATGGTACTTGGGATGGAGGGCCACTCGCAGGACCACTTGGTGTGTGCACTGCTGCACACGATCGTCTGCAAGCGCCACACTCATCGGCGACTTCTTCTTGGTTGCATGTATGTTGAGCTCCTGGAGCAAGCGTCTGCTGACAAAGTTGCAGCTTGCTCCAGAGTCCACCATCATTCGGACGGTGTGACCTTGGACGGTGGCAGGGAGGTACAGCAGGGACTCTTCATGGTCCTCCTGCACAGCCTCCTGCACCATGACTTGACTTGGGGGAACGGGCGACACTTGGTCTTGGTTGGCTTCATCACGGCCACTCGGACATTTTGGATAGGGTTCGGCCATTGCGGGGGCCTGCGGCGTCAGCACGCCATTGCACACGACGTCCACGGCTTGCGGACACATGTCGGAAGCATCCGACACACACGACTTGACAGGGGTGAGGGCACAGGCGGTCCTGTCCCTCAAGGGTTCTTGATTTTCTTTTTTGTTTTGGTTTTCAATTTTGGTTTTCTCTTCACGTTCGTGGAGAGGCAGGCGGCTTGCGCCACCATGCACCTCTCGCACGACGCACAACACTTGGTTTGTTTCTCCTTCGGGGGAGGGGGCGAGGTGAACTTCCTCTGGAGACGCGTGGACTGCATTGAGCAATCCACGGCGTTGGTCTCCTACTAGGGCTCCAGAGCCACCTAGTAGGGTCGGCCGTTTCCCGACTTCATGGGGCACTCCTTGGCCTGGTGTCCCGGTCGGTGACAGAAGAAGCAGGAACCATGGCGGAGGTCCTCCTGCTTCTGTCTGTCCTTGGGGGAGACAGTGGCAGCTTGCTGGAACCGGGAGCGGGGAGGGCCACGAGCCTCCATGGCGTTGACGTCAACGTCCATGGGCTCAGGCATGGGTCTTGCGGGCGGGGCCGGGCGAGGCGGACGGGCTGGGACGTGATGAGACCGATGGCCGCCTGCCAGCTGCGGGTAGAACTGGCGGCCATGGTACTGGACGTTGTCGAGGTTCTCGGCAACGTCCATCATCACGTCCAGGGACTTGCGGGCATCAGGGTTGCTGGCGATGTACTCTCTGATCTTGGGCTTGAGGCCCTTCTGGAAGAGGTACATCGCATCAGCAGAGCCCAGCTCCTCAATCTGGGAGGAGAGGTCTTCAAACTCCTCGATGTAGCGGGTCACAGAACCACGCTGCACGAGAGAGTATAGCTTGTCACGGGCAATGAGTTCAGCATTGGGGCTGCCGAAGCGGCGACGGAGGCGGTCCTTGAAGTCGTCAAACACACCTTCGCTCTGCTCGTCGAACCCTTGGCGGCGGTACCAACGGTACGCCTGGTCCTTTAAGCAGAGCTTGGCGGCGACGATGTGGTGGGTGGGGGCGACTTGGGCAGCATCGAGGTAGTCCTCGAGTTGCTGCAGCCAGTCCTCCACCGAGGAGGAGCGGCTCTTCCCAGTAAACACTGGGGCACGGAAGGTCTTGAGGAAGGCTTCCGGAAGTGGGCGGGGGTTGCTCATGGCAGGGGCAGGCTCCAGGGACAGAGAGGAGAGTCGGTCGGCAAGAGAGGCGGGATCCAGCTTGAGGATCTAGAAAGAGGACAAACAGGACGAAAACAAGACGAGGATTTCCGATGCTACCATGTAACGTCCACTACTGGGACGTTGGGGCAAGACGGGGAGGGAGGGGGTACAAGACAAGACAGGACGGGGCAGAACAGGGCGGTGCTAGGCTACTCTAGCGGACGGGTGAGCTCGGGGAGCACTTACGTTTATTCACGATAAAACCGAACTCCAGACAAACGGGGGGAACGGGGGCAACCCGCAGGTATACCCTGCGGTGGCCTGCCTGCGGTGCGTGAAAACGCAAAGCGCAGCACAGGTCACGACCCACTGCGCCGCGCAGTACGCGCAGTACGCGCAGCACAGCGTCGGAGATACCATCTCCTACACAATGAACTCGGCCACACTATCAGTGCTGGGACCCATATCTTGGATCGCCTTCTCGTTCATGATCGGCGGCCTTGTCCTCAGCAACGAGCCGCCGCTGCTGTACTTGGGGTACCATTGGCACATGAGACAGTGCATCGCATTTTTGTACTCCTGTCGCTCCATAATACTTCCCAGAGTCTCGTCCTTCATAAACACAGGTGCTCCAGGATATTTCTGCTGATAAGCGCGATATTGATCCTGGTTCATGGCAAACTTTGAGCGATAGGGATTGAATACGACTCGTCGATACACTGCATCGTACTTGGTCAAGTGGGCCAGGTCGATGTCTTCAGGGTTGCACATGATCATGAACTTGATCCTGAGTTCCTTTGAACTATGACCCTGGTAGACGTCGCGAAAGCCGACCTCGTCGCCGCCGACAAGGTTCTTGATGCGCATTGTATTCAATGGTCGAGGCCTGTTTCCCTTCCGCTCAAGCTCGGACACATACACAAATCGCGCATTCGAGATCGATGCCACCTCTGGCGTCGCCGTCGAGCTGCTGTTGGAGCTTGTGAACAGGTAGCTGCTGGGCAGCATTTTAGTATAAGCGGAGCCCAGAGTCATTCGAAGAATCTTGATGATCAGGGACTTGCCATTGGATGAATCGCCGATACCGAGGACGAGGAACTGTTCATCATTGGATCCATCCAGCAGGCTGGCAAAGTAGCGCATGTTCCAGTCGAACTGTGCTGGATCCGTAAAGATGGTTCGGATGATGTCGGTGAGGTGGTCCATGGCCTTCAGCACCTCGGCAGTATTTTGATCGTTGAAGTAGGCATTGGACCACAGAGTGAAGTAGTCATTGGGACGGCTTGGACGGAAGGTCATTGTGGTCAAATCCAGAGTCCCGTCCCTGGT